TTCCATCTGTATTTATTCTTTCACCAGTCATGGCTTGAGTTTAGTGGTGCTTTTACCCCTGTGCCTTTTGTATCAAATGTGGCAAAGGAAGGTCAGGGTCAGTGCAAGGCTTCTTCACCCACTCCACTGAAAGACTTTCTTATTACAGCCAAGCAACGTGGTCTGGTGAGAAAAAGCAAGAAATGAGGCACATGAAACACAGTCACTGCTTGTCCTTCTCTCCCACAATGCTGCCACCAGAGTTTTAATAGCAAGTGGGGTGAATGCTGCCTCTGCTGTGACATTTTACACTGGATTTCCCTCTGATCTACTTCACAGATGACCCAGCTGCATCCACACCTCTCTGTGCACCTGCCCACTCAGCTGGCACAGGAGGTTTGACAAACCAAGAGCACAGTTAGCAGAGCTGGCACAGGAGGTTTGACAAACCAAGAACACAGTTAGCAGAGTACAAGGAAAGGCCGAGAGAATTGGGATTGTACAGCCTGGAGAAGAGAAGGCTCCAGGGTGACCTAACAGAGGCTTTCCAGTGCCTGAAGGAGACTACAGGAAAGATGGAGAGAGACTATGGACAAAGGCCTGGAGTGACAGGACAAGAGGAATGGGTTCACACTGCCAGAGAGCAGGGATAGATGGGATATTGGGAAGGAATTCTTCCCTGTGAGGGTGCTGAGGCACTGGCACAGGTTGCTCAGAGAAGCTGTGGCTGCTCCATCCCTGGGAGTGTTCCAGGCCAGGCTGGATGAGGGCTGGAACAACCTGGGCTGGTGGAAGGTGTCCCTGCCCATGGCAGGGGCTTGGAACAAGATGTACTTTAAGGTCTCTTCCAACCCAAACCTTTCCAGGATTCTCTGATTTTAAGCTTTTAGTGCTGCTTCCCTTGCAGGAAAACACTTCTTATGGGACTTGGGAAGCAACAGCTGCAACACCCAAACAGAAAGAGGAATCCAGGCGAGAGCAAGGACAGAATAAAAAGCAGGAAGCAATAAAACCACTATGTCAAGCCCAGGTTCAGAGAGGCACTCTCAGACACTGCTTTCAAGTAATGTGACCTTGTGAACAAATGGGGAAGAGACTGATTCTCCTAATTACAGCTCTGCCACGTGCACAGAGCTGGCACAGGGTGAGGGCTCAGGCACAGCCAGCAAAGCTGGAATGATAATCAGAAATGACCTGCATAAAGAGGCCATCAAAGTGCCAATGATTCCTGCATCAAGCCCATAACTTCTGGCTGAATTGCCACAGCTTTTCTAAAAGGGCATCTAGTCTTAGATTAATGATTTCAAAGAAGACAAATCTACCATATCCTTTGATATGTTGTTCCAATGCTTAATTGCTCTCACTGTCAAATAATTAAATGCATTATGCTTTTTCAACTAAATGAAAAAGCTCTGTCTCATCAGAAACTCTCACTCCCATGAGATACTTATGGACTGGGACCAACTTTCTCCTTTTTTTAAATTTTTCTTCGATAAGTTGAATAGAATGAGCAAATTAAGTGCCCATAGGCTCATTTTCTGGACACTGGATCACTCCTGAGTCTGCTCCCAGTTGTTCTACCCCTTAAAAAATGTAAGTCAGGAGTGCTGGGCACAGCATGCCAAGAATAGTCTCAACAATACTATTTATACCTCTTAAAAGTCGTTAGTTTATAGATGGAAAGATTAATGGCAACTATTGGCTACAGGATCATGCTGAGAATTCCCAAGTCCCCTGGAACATATAATGATTTCCAGTATGAAGAATGAGCTTGGGAGAGGCAGATCTGACACACAGCTGCCTGCAACAAGTGCACATATACAAGGGCTGCAGGTTCCTGCCACTGGTCTCTGACCAAAGGTGTTGTTACTCCCAAACACCAGGAATTCACATTTAGGCCATGTCAGACTGTTTGGAACAATAAAATTCCATTTCTCCAACGAAAAATTAGGATGCTATTAGCTTGGAGTTTTTTCTTGGAACAATAAAATTCCATTTCTCCAATGAAAAAGTAGGATGCTATTAGCTTGGAGTTTTTATCTCCTTCTGTAATTACAACAGGAAAAGAAAGTTAAATCTTCACTAGGCTGCTAAATGTGACTTTTTCATGGCAATACTGGTAAAACAGTTTTGTAAATCAAATCAAGTCCTGTGAGATCAGGATTATCACTTGGAAGCATGTGCAGCAATGGTAAGGAGCAAGAATTCCCACAGAGAGGTGGTATCTCTCCCACAGATCTCTCAGGGAGCCTGATGGCATGGGAAGCTGAGCAGGCCAACAGTGAAACTGCTATCCCTCACATATGTGTGTAGACATAGAAAAATATATAGATATTAAAGAAAATAGTACAAAATATTTATCTCGTATAGGTATAATTTCATATTGTTCACAATGTATAATATCTAAATTAGTATGTAATATTATAACAATATATAATACTGCATTTTCCTAGTATAATTTTATAGTATTATATTTTCATATTCCAAAAATAAAATACTATAAATAAAATGTGACACCTAAGGATTGCAAGACAAAGGATCAGCACAGGTTTGTAAGCACTTACAGTCAGTTTTCTCACCACTTTTCCTCATTCTCACTAAAACAGTTCGAACAGTTACATAAAACAGTTACATCTTTGCTGTTCTTATGAAATTTTACTCCTTGAAAAAGTGTTTAGTGGATGAAAGTTTATTCTGTTCCCTGCCAGGGAAAGGCTGCCCAAGGATAACCTCAGACAAAGGTTTCTCCTGCAGAACAGCCACGTCCAGCCCTGCCACCCTGTGCCCCAGCCCTGGCAGGACCCAGCTCTAAGCCACCTCTGTGGGCTACACTCCCATTACATCTATCAGCCAAGCACAGCTTGTATCTCTGGTTTTACAGAAGTACAGTGAGGAGAATCCCATGCAAAGGAAACTCCAGGATGCAGTTTGAGCTCCCTGTGTTCACATGTTGCCCTTAACCACCACATTTATGGGTCACTGGAGGCCAAGAAAAAGCCCAAAAATGAGAGAGAAAGAAACTGCACTGCTAACATCTTCATTTCTTGCAGCTTCTCACGTGGTATCAGATCCCTCTATGCAAAGGCTGTAAAGTCACTATTTCCTGTTGGGCCTTGCAAGGAATAGTGAAGAGCTGGACAGCTATCCCAACATTCCTAGCAATGCTTGTGTCTGGAGACAGCAAAAATGGGATCACCACTGTGTCTGACACCATAGTGAGAATCACAGTCAAGAAAACTGCTTAGATTAGGGCACAAACACAATATTTGATGTGCTTACAAAAATGAAACTCGAGTGCTTTCCACATTTTAATGGGATCAGCCACGTCTCTATTATTGGCACAGAACCCCTACAGCAGAGGGAGAAGTTACTAAAATTGGCAAAACACAGAATATCCTCCTTTTTTTTTCTTCCTGAAAGCAAAACTACAGAACAAACAAACCTCAGTAACTAACCCCCATGCTGGCTCAACAGACAGCACATGGCATTCTTCCCACAGCCCAGCAGCTAAGAGGGCTTACCCACTACTTTGGGGCTTACCAAAGGCAGCAAACTGGGAGAGAAACCAGAGCAGAACTCCATGCCAGTGTGGGTGGAAGGACACAGGTCCTGCTGCTCCTGCCTGGGAGCAGAGCAGCTCTGAAGAGCAGTGCAGAAGGAGTGCTGCTCACTCTCAACGCCTCAAGCCACCTCAGCCTTAGATGTACACGTTGCCTTCTTTCTCTTCTTTGAAGGACTTTCATCTCTGGCACAGTACAAGCTTGAAACCAAAGCCAACTAGCCAGGAGGACTGAACTAACCACCACTGCCACCAGGCAACACAGCAGCTGTCGGAGCAGCTCTCTTCTCTCCAGCCATCAGGCAGTGAGGGAAGGAGATTTGTACCAAGGCATTGCCTTTGAAGAGCACAAAGCAGCAGCTCCCAGGGGGATCTGCCTCTAACAACTGGTGAATGGTATTTAAGCAAGAAATATCAGTCTGCTATAAAAAATTGATCACAAGCAGATGACAGTGCCTGAAGGAGCTGTAGTGGTGCTGCTCTCCCTTGGCTGCTGCAGGATTGTGTTTTTCACTGCTGAATTTCAGGATCCTGAACACTGCTTGAGCCTCACCTTGGAGCAGCAAACAAACCTGCATGGCTTTGGGTTTTAGCTAGACCAGACAAGCTGCAAGAGTGATGCACCTTTTATCTGCTAAGTGTAGAGGCCCAGAGAAGTTGCTCATATATGTGCCCATTAGAAGAGATTCCAGGGTGACTTGATTACAACTGCACTGATTTAAGTGCAGTCACATATCTGCATAAAATCATAGTGCTTTAGGCTGCCAGACTGAGCTTAAACCAAGCTACAAACCTGCCTTCAGTGGGTTTCTGAACCAGCAGCACTCAGGGGTGTGGACTCTCATCCCTGCCCCCTCCTAGACTGAGCCACTCCAGGGGAAGGGAGTGTCACACATCAGTCAAAATGAAACAGGGGAGCCCAAACCAGACGTGGTAACAAAGACAGGACAGGTCTGCTGGAGCCCAGGACGGTTAGTTGCTGTGTTCAGCAGCTGGGACAGACCCCCCCACCACTGTGGCTGCTCAGCAGGGCCAGCTCAACAGTCAGTGCAAAATTCAGTGTACTGCACTGTACTGCACCCTCCCTCCCTGCCTCCATCCACAGGAACCAATGGCACAGCCTTTGGCCTTGCCACTCCTGAAGGAGCTCATAAGCCTTACCCACCACCATGGAGGAAGATGGTGAAGGGCCTGGAGGGGCCATATGAGGAGTGGCTGAGGACACTTGGCTTTTCAGCTTGGAGAAGGGGAAGCTGAGGGGAGACCTCATCATGATGTGTAACAAGGGCAGTGCAGGGGCAGCTCTGAGCTCTGCTCTGGGTGAGCAGTGACAGCACCCAGGGAACAGCTAGAACTGTGTCAGAGGAGGGTTAAGTTGGATATCAGGAAAAGGTCCTTCCCCCAGAGGTGTTTGGGCACTGAACAGCTCCCCAGGGCAGTGGGCACAGCCCCAAGGCTGACAGAGCTCCAGGAGTGTTTGGCCAATGCTCTCAGGCACAGGGTGCATTGTTGGGGTGTCCTGTGCAGGGACTGATGAGTCTTGTGGGTCCTTCCAGCTCACAACATTCTATGGTTCAATGATATTCGGCTCTGGTCAAGCTCACACATATGGACTTGGCACGCTCATTCTACCTGTGCACACCCAGATACCCCTCTGGAGCGAGTCCTTGACAGGCCTTCTAGGTTAGCCAAGCTGACAGGGCACTTGCCATCAGACAGAGCTCTGTTTCACTACACCCTGGACTTTTCATTCATCCTCCTCCAAGGAAACAACATTCCCATCACCATCTCCACCAGGCCTGGCCCTTTTGGTTTAAGTTTCCTGCACATTGGAGGGTCTGAGCTTGCTGAGCAATCCCAGACACCTGCACCTGTCTGGCCCCCAGAGATGAAAACAAGGTGTTCTTAGGCCAGGAAATCCTGCAGAGCCACCCTCAGCCCACATCAGCTCAGCACTGCAGTGCCACTGGGCACTGACAGGGAACAGAACACATCACAGCAGCACCTGTGTGCACACAGAAAGAAGGCAACTCACCAGCTCTGCGATCAGGCATTTAGTGGCAATGATGCTTAAAGGTATAGTTTGATGAATATTGGTAGAAACACCAACCTAAGCAATGTGTCTCCTGCTCCAAGCTCCTTCTCCTTGCCCAGGCTTTGCCTCCAGCAGTTAAACTGGTACACAGCATTTTGTGCTCACACTGCATCAGGTCAAGATACTAATTTAGCAGATTTTTGCACTATTCCTTCTGACATTTCAGTTCTCCTGTCTCAGTCCTCTACACAGCATAAGCAAATATCCCCAGAGACACACACCTCAAACTCCAGCCTTGTGGTCACCGAGCAATGAATGGAAACATAACATGGGATTCCCAATGCAGCCATCTACTCCTATCTCCAAAGGTAACTCTGGGATGCTTTCATTACCTTTATCACCCTTTATCCCTTATGTCTTTGATGTCAAGCTCAGAAACTGGAGTTTCCAAGCAGGAGGGACCTTCTCCAAGCACAGGAGACACACACACACACACACTCTCACACACACACAGACACAAACACACACTTGCCTTTCAGTCTGCTGCCTGCCCCTGGAAACTTTTGGGTTCTTAACAGGGTTGTAAATGGATTAGGAAGGAAAGATAGATTCTTCCAAAAGGTGCAAGGCTTGTATTACTGCTCTAGTCAGAAGGGGAGTAGAACTGATGCTGTCAACAACTCTTCTGAGGTCTCTGCTCAAAAACCACCTTAACATGCGACAACATCAATTAAAATTGTCACCTGTTTCAGATTCAGCTTCGATCCCAATTCAGGAAGCAACTCCTAAACAGAGAAAAAGCTGGTTAAATTGGTGAGAAAACTATTTTCTTCCTTTCAGAGACCAATTCACACATGCAGGAAAAGGCTACCAAGGTCCCCTGACAGCTATTGGATTGCAGAAAGTAATTTTTTGGCCCCAGTGGGTTTCTGCAGGAGCCAAGGGGAACAAATGTTTGCACTCTGCAGGCAACAAAATCCCCTCCTCCCCTCCTTCAACAGGCAGCACAGGTCTGCAGGAACAGTCTTACCAAGAAAACAACAATGCTCTATAAAACATTAGCAAACTACTGCGTCCTGTAACATCAGCTTCTAGATGATTTCCACAGTTTATTTCCTGGGCTGCAGCACCTGCTTTCATGATGCTTTCAAAGGGGAAAAGGTGTAAAGGTGGAGGCTGGTGCAGGAAAAGCTCCTACACTGCTGGGCTGAGGATTCTCCTCCAAGCAGCTCAACAAAAAAAGAATCAGGACAGAAAAATGACAACCAGCAAGGACTCTGCTGCTCAGAAGAAAATAGCATGTAAATTCGAAGAATAATGGGGAAAGATTAGGTAGTAATTATCAGGAAGGCTGAACACAACAGATGTTTTATTGTCCTGCAGAACTGAGATCAAATCTTGGGTTCACATTCAGCTGCAGAGGCTTGAGAGGAGAACATGGGAACAGCCTCTTACCACCCTTCCTGGGAACGTTGCTTCTCTCCCTATTTTAAGCCCGAGGCAAATGGCCAGAGGAGCTGAGGACAGGCTCTGTACTTTCTAGAGCAGCCCAACAAGTGCAGGCTTTGGGGTTTGAAGCTGGTTTTCTCTGGTGAGCAAATAAGGATCACCAGCACCATCCCAGTGAGTTGTCCTGGTGCTGCAAGAGCACCCAAACGCCTCATGTTTCTTCCTACAACAAACCTTGAAGCCCAAAGGGTTGTATCAAAATATTCTTTTGATGTATCATAAAATATGAATGAGGAAAACATTCCCTACTAACCCAGCAGTCATCCTTTAGAAGGGAATTGCCTCTTTCAATTGCTCAGCCCTAAGGGATCTCTCCCTGTCAAATTCCACGAGGGTCTGGGGGTTTGCCTGGTCTAATTTCAGTGCACAACAAGCTGCTGGAGGAAAGCTGTGAGGCAGTTTGGGCTGCAAAGCCTGCCTTGGGTGAGAGACAGCCTTGCTGGGGGATCTTCATCGGGCTGCACCATGGCACCTGAGCTCCCCCAGGACACACAGCAGAGGGGTGAGAGCAGAGAATTCACAGGCAATCAGGGGAAGACAGAGGGGAAACGAGTGGTTTGGGGGCCTGGCTGGGAAATCCTGGCAGGCAGGTGTGGTTTCTGCCCTGCTCCCAAGGCTGGGTGCCCACGCTTTGTAATCTTGATGTGCTCTTTGGACTCCCATCTGCTTCCAGAGGCACAGGTGGTGCCTCACCAAGGGCACCTCTCCCCATCTGGGGCTGGCTGAGTGCCACCCCTCCTCCTTTTCTCTCTCTCTTCCCCTGCTCCAGACCACAGCTCACAGCTCTGAGCCCTTCACAGCACACTACTGCTGTGCTGCAGCACGTGGGGGACAGCTGAGGATCACTCAGCACTTGCTAGATCCTTCCAGCCATCCACTGCATCGACCTCTATGGAGCTGCAGCAGCTTCCGTGTATTTCTGGGAGTCACTCACATTGCCAAGCAGGGCTGACAATCCTGCCCTTGACCTAAAGGATGCTCTCCCTTCATCATTAGACACAGCATAATAAGATCCAGCTCACTGTAGTTAAATATAAAGCATCCCAGGGATGAAGACCAAGTGCTCATAGTGAAGATCTGCCTGTTCCAGGATTTATTCCCTACGTCTGGCAAAGAATCCAAAAACTAACCAAAGGAACCAAACTTGGCCCATGACAAAGAAAAGTCCCGTTTCTCTTCACCCCTCTCTAACGTGAATGCACCAAATGACATCTCCTTCTGCCTCCCAAAAGAGAAGCAGAGCTCTGTTTCACTGAGTGAGGGTAAATCCACCCCTGAGGATTATGGAGTGAATGCATTACTGCAGGCAACACAAGAGAGAAAACATCATCTGGTTTACCCCCACAATGATTCCTACAGCAATGCAATCAAGCTGCCTAACAGATCAGCTTCTTGACAACTTCCAAGCTTAGGAGAATCCTCAAGTTTACATGCTATGCTTAATTTCCTTTGGGTCGACCTTAGAAGAAATCTAATTTGTTTCACAGGCAGCTCTGGATGTCAGCAGATGGCTGATGAGCAATAGAGCCAGGAGAGAAAGGCCATTTAGTGTCTCCCATAGATCTGTTGGAGAAGGCAATTGATCAGTTATATATTTAGAAGCACACAGGGGAAGGGAGTTGATGGTGCCTATGTGACTCTAGTTTACCACCTCTGTAGGAAGAGACAAAATAAAGATATATATTTTAAAAATATACATCAAAATCAATGCACACAGTGATCCACCTCCAAATTCCACAGTCAGGTATCCCTCACACCCCCAAGGCAAGCCAAGAGTAATCCCACTGTGCTGGGCATATACATTACCAGGCTGGGGGTGGGTTTAGGCATTGTCTTCCGTGCTCTGTGGACCTTGACTTCAGTGTTAGCAGCAGGGGCTTTTTTAGCATCCATGTCCTTACTGCCCTCCCCGAGCTTGGCTGGCACTGGCTGCAGCTGGGCAAAGGAGCCCACAGTCCTGCCCTTGCCTGCTCCTCCAGGCAGGGTTTTTGCAGCATGGCCGGTGAGAGAAGCAAAGGTGCTGGTAGTCCTTAGAGGCTGCTCCTGTGCCATCTGCTTGGTTAGGATATATCCATTGCTCCCTGTGACAGAAGTCTGTGTGAAGTCATTGGCTTTCAGATGGTTTTGCTTCCCAGTCTCAGCATCCCTCTCAGAAATGCCATTTTCTGCTATCCTATTTAATTTAGCACTAGAGTCCTGCTGGCTCACTTTCGGGTTGTCCTGAGTGGTTTTGGCTGGGTTTGGGTGCCCTCCAGCCTCGCTGTGCTCACAGGAACCGTTGGTTTCACCGTCTACTGCCAGTTTTGGTTCCCCCACTTGCTTTTCTGTAGCACTTTCATCTGCAGCCATGGCATTAAACCCTGGAGGAAGAGGGAGGAGAGGGAGGAAGAGAGGAGAAAAGGGTCACGAGCAGTATCAAAACTCCCAAGGAGAAGCTACAGCTGCTTACAGTGGCTAATGAAGGGCAAAACCTCTCTCCAGAAACTTGCTTGATATGAATCACACAATCATTAAGGTTGGAAAAGACCTCCAAGATCACTGAGTCCAACCTGTGACCAAACACCACCTCCTCAACTAACCCACAACACTGTTAAGTTGCTCACTCACCTACCCACCCAGCTTGCCTGGATCCCCAGGTGGTGACAACTTGGGTGGGTGGCTCAGGTGACAGCAGGGCACTCATTCTCACTTGCCTCAGCTGCAGATGTGGCCGTTTATTCCCAACTATGAATTTTTCAAGGTAAATATTATCTTTAGGCTTTCCAATCACCACATTTATTGGACCATATGTCAATACCTCGCCTGGCAAACAAAACATTGCCCAATCTTCCATCAGGATGTCGGGCAAAGCCAGACAATGCCAGACTGACAGAGGAAAAGCTTGCTGGAAGGGCTGTACAGGTGAGCTGTTGTGGCACAGACACAAATGTCTACACCAGGGACCTGCTGCTACAGGAAGCATCACAAGAAAACTCCCTGGCAATCCCAGCTCTCCTGTTGTCCAAGGGAGAGCTGCTCTTTTGCTGGGATGAAGCAGCACAGGCTTCATGGTGTCATTTCAGAGGTAACAACCAGAGGAAACACAGGGGTGAAGCTTGTTAAATACAACTCTAGACTAGAATAATTGTATGATTCAAGTGCAGCAAGATATTTGCAGCCTGACTAGAAGCTACTACACAGCTAAACCAGCAATGCCCATGGAACGTGTTTCTTCTCCTTCCCTCCCAAACATTTCCCTGCTCCCCCATCAATGAATTTGTCCCATCAGAGATTTCAGACTCAAGCTGAAAAAAACCCAACTATGAATGCCATGTACTGAATTTGTCCCATCAGAGATTTCAGACCCAAGCTGAAAAAACCCAACTATGAATGCCATGTATTTGCAGAAAGGTTTCTGACATGACAAACCAGCAGCTCCCCAGACAGTTCCCAGGAGTGGGAACAATTCACTGGCAGGAGGAGTAAAATGATTAAATCAACCTGCTGTTAGGGATTCCTTGTCTTGTTTTCCTTCCAGAGGTCAGACAGTTAGAAAAAGCAGCACAGGAAGCAGCAGTGAAAGCTCTGCATGGGCTGTCAGAGCATGTAGGATTGATTCACCACCAGATCCCATCAAAGCAATTTTCACCCAGAGCATCAGAAGAGCCTGGAGTCACAACAGAGGACAACTCTGCAGGCCAGACCAGCTCACTGGGCAACAGCATCTCATTTCATGCTGCTCTTGAAGCCCAAACACTCAAGGAAAACAACATTCAGAACCATAGGGTCATTAAGGTTGGAAAAGTCCTCCAAGATCATCAAGTCCAACCTGTGACCCATCACCACCTTGTCAAACAGACCAGAGCACTGAGTGCCACATCCAGTCATTTCCTGAACACCTCAGGGATGGTGACTCCATCACCTCCCTGTGCAGCACATTCCAATGCCTGACAACCCTTTCAGTGAAGAAATTCTTACCGATGTCCAACCTGAATCTCCCCCAGTGCAGCTTGAGGCCATTTCCTCTTGTCCTGTCCCTTGTTCCCTGGGAGCAAAGCCTGATCCCTCCTGTCTGCACCTCTTGTCAGGGAGTAGTAGAGCGTGAGAAGGTCCCCCCTGAGCCTGCTTTCCTCCAGGCTGAGCCCTCACAGCTCCTCATTAGGACTTAAAATTGTCTCTTCTGACCTGTCAAAAACCCTGCTCTAAGTCTAAGGTGTGCAGAACCACCATTCTGGGGTTCAACTCTGGCCATTTTTCCCCACGAAACACCTGCACTAAGCAATCCATTCCTCCCCAGTCCCAGGCAACCCAGCCTGGGATTGCCTCCCTCATGGGCTCTGCTGGCTCTCAGCCTCCAGGAAGGGCTCCAAAACCTCCAAAAGATGCTCCTTCGAGCACACACTGGGGGCAGAGGCAGAAACATCACCTTCAGAAGCAGTAACTGAGGGCTCTCCAAGCAGGATTCCAAGCCATCACCACCACCTGCTGCCTCTCACACCACTCAGAGCCTTCTGTGTACAGGAAGATGCACATGGGTTTGTTTTTGATAGGAACAACTCCAGGAGAAGCAAGTGTTATCTTTTTCACTGCTTTATTTAACTGTTTGAAAGGTTCTGGGCCAACACCTCTGCCCTTATTCTTTCAATCCTTGCTTCTCTTTCTGTGCTTGGTGTCTTTTGCAGACTGTGCTGTGGCCATTTAAGAAATTATTGGAGCAAACTCAGTGCCAGGAAAAAGAAACAACAAAAAAATGAGCTCTCTAACCACAGCTGGAGGTTTCTAGAGCTCAGCACTAGGCACCTAGCTGAATAAAGCCTTCAATATTTGTTGATTTAAATACTGCATACTCCCACCAGAGCAAGCAAATAACTTAAGTGGCTGACGATTAGATAAACTGAATGAGCAGAGGGCAAGAATTGCTCTATCTGCCATGAAGGCAACCAAAACAAGGCAAATTAGAGCACTGCCCGGGGGAAAAGAGTAACTCCAGAAAGCATCATGGACTTCATGAAAAATCCATGAAGCTAAAATTAAAGTCCCACATAGAGTTTCTCCCCCAACCACACTCTTATTAAGTGTGTAAAATGCAATCTGATTGAGTGTGGAAGTGGCACCAATCTCCTCTAAACAGACCTCAGCCTTGCAAATGGGTATGACTAGAGATCTGACAAAGATATGAAATAGTTGTACAGAGCTGGAGAACTTGACAGCAGTTTGGTTTGGATTGAAGAGGATTTGGCACCCACTCTCCCTGCTGTCCGTGACTGCTCAGGTTGCAGGGCAAAGCCAGGTCCTAGGGCCCAGATCCAGCCCTGGACACCAGCACTGACATCACTGCATGGAGTGAGCAGAATGCACTGTGGGGGGTCAGGATTTGGGGGCTAATGGACACACATCCACAAGGCAAAATTGTTGTGGGAATTGTCATCAGGGCTCACTGGCTGGCAAGAGTCAGCCAGGAAAAGACCACGTTCTCCTCCAGCCTCCAACCAGTCTGAGACACTGCATTCAGGGCTGTCCTGACTGCTGCTTCCTCTGGGAAAGATCACCTCCCTTCTCCCATTCCCTTTCCAGGCAGCACTAAAGCAAGTCCATGAATAGGTTGGGATAGCATTGTTTGCCAGAACTGAGCTCCTGCACAGCACCAACCTCCTGTGAGGAGCACCATGGCCTTGTCATCCCAGGGTCTGACCTGCACACCAAATCAGCTCTCATAGAGAACCAGCTCATGTCAGGAGCTGTGTCATTTCATAAGATGTGCTAGCTCAAGTTTTTGGTTTTCCCAACCAAAACACCTGCTCTGGTAACAAGAAAACAAGACTTGCCATCCCAGGCTAAGTGACAGCTCCTCTGCCTCTAACCAGATACTCCATGTGCTCCATCCTCGTGCCACAGGACACGTCTGCAAGTCTGACAGTCCAACTGCATTCAGCAAGTCTCAGGTACACCAAGTGCACATGTCCAAGCACTGCTGAACAGGGACAATTCAACACATACTTACACCTTTGCTGAACTCTGGCCTGTAGAGAGGGATGGGAACACAAACCAGAGCCAGCAGGAGCCTCACAGTGACAATACTGAATAAAACAGCTTACAAAAGCTCTTCAGCAGCACCTAAAGAAACACTTGTTCCTGACATGACCTTTTCATCTCCCCTTTTTCATTCCTAAAAAAAAAAAAAGTTTCACTGAAAACCTGCTAAAAAATTCATTTCGAATACATCTCTTGGCAATGAGTTCTCTTGAAAATGCTGCTCAGCAGCTTTTCCACTCTTGTGCTGCTAGTGAATCACAAAACTAAAGTTGGTGTTTCTCTAAAACTTTATGACTTGACAGCATTCATCTCTTCTAAGTAGGCCAAAACTAGTTTTCCTCCACATTCAGTTTCCTCTCCAACTCTCTCCCTGCTCTTTAATCCACAACCAATCTCTCTTTAATTAAAAAGAGATGAAAGGCAGGAAGTTCTAGCCTATGTCCATGAAGTGTAACCTCATTTCCTAGAAGCATCCCAGTCTTTTCAGAGCTTCTCTATGCACCCCCTGTGCCATAAGCAGCAGGAAAAGCTTGTCACAAGGAGCACAGCTCTGCCTGCAGCCCCATCCAAGCATTTGGCATTATTTAAAAATCAGGAACAGGTAACTTGCCCAAAAGATTGATTTCCTGTTCTACTGCCCATTCTCCCTGGTAGGAGGTAGCTGAAGGTCATACCAAGTTGCCACAGACTTCATTAAAAACGTAACCTTTAGGAACTGAGCACAGAGAAGTAACACAAAGAATTTAAGACTCAGGAAGTTGGATAGATACATTATCCCTGCGACTCCAGGTTGCAAGGAATAATCAGTAACACATTTTAAATACATTTAAATCCCTTCTCTCTGAACAAACGACTCACTGAGAGCACTGCAGAGCTCCCAGCCCTGCCCAGGTTCAAGCAGATCCTCTGCAGCAGGATCAGCTCCAAGTTTTCTTCTCAATGTCACAGCTGTTCAAAACTGAATTAAAATTCCCATGAAGAGAACAGAATTTGATGAAAGTTGAGGAGAAGCTAAGTCAGAGAGGATGAGACCATCTCAGCTAATTTTAGGTGTCTAACAGGTATCTCAGGCTCCAGAGTGTCCCTAACTCATCACTGCAAGGGACAGAGAGAAGCCAGCAGTGCCAAGGCAGCACAGGCTGACTCCAGACACCTTGGGATAAACCAATCCCTGCCTGGACCATGTCTAACCTGCCTGCTACCATGTCTGAGCAGAAATGAGCTGCAATAGTTCAGAATTAGAATAACTTTTAAAAATGCCCAAAATTAGGCAAGATGAAACCACCTCTGCTCTCCCAGCACAGATCACCAGTTCCTCTCCACTGTCTTTGCCTGCTGGGCTTCCAGC